AGTTGTCACCGTAATGATTTGGCAGAATAGTTTTCAAACAAATTAAATGAAATTTCGTCTCTATTTCTGGTTATATACTCGATATAAGCGATCCACACTTTTCCGCAATGATCTGTCATTTTAGTCTGTCATCAAAAAAGCCAGACTATAAAATACTTACACAAAATTCATCTCTATAAGGATTTACAGAAGAAACATCTGACGGCGGTCCTTTGTTCTTAACAACCTTAGCAATTCCCTTTTGAATACATTCTTCCAACAAATCACCGGCATCGCTCAAGTTCGAGCTGTCCGAAGTGTCTCTGACATCTTCTCTGATGTCTGACATATTGCCTGTTTCGTTTATGTCGGACATGTTGCTAGTTTCATGCACATCGCTGGCTTCGTTGAGGGACTTTCGAGAATCGATGGGAGCTGAATCGATGGAGAGTACAGAGAGGTTAGAGTTGCTGCCAGCTTTGGACAATATTGCCGGTGTATCTTCTGTGAAATAGACTTTGCAGGTATCGCCGGGGGTTTGCTGGCCTGAGTGGAAAAGAAAAGGTTTTAATCACTTTCTTTATTTACTATTATCTACTATTCACAAGGCATATTTCCGAGAAAAATGAGTAAGAAATTTTAGAGGATTTCTCTTTTTAAATAAACATTTGTACACACTAATAATTTACAACGTATTTAGCATTGACAAGGACTCGTCAGTGAATGTTTCTTTAGGATATGAAAGTAATATTGAAAAAAAAAGGGCATATAGTCAAATAAACCCAGAACCCGAGACGGGACGTACAAGTCGTGCGCCTGATGGTAAGCGACCTGTCTAAAGCAGTTGCAGTGCTACTCAAAGGTTTGAATTTAAATAAGTCGAGTCGAGTCCTTCTTTATGTTTTCCACCATTTTTTTTACCTTGTCACAGTCTAATTCTTTCTTAATCAATTTTATTGGGTTATCTTCGTGTATCTTCAAGACAACATGAGTCTAGAGTCCACACAAATATGATTCAAAATGTATTCTATAGCAAATAAGTTTATTTGAAAAGAGCAACCCCTAGAGTTTCTTGCTCGTTCTTCTCAGGGAAGTCGGCACAGTGAAACGAGCAATAGCTTAAAAAATGACGTTTTCATGTGTAAAAATTTTTCCTATGGAATAAATGATTATTTGACTGATTATTTGAAGATGACAGTACTTTCATGGACGAACTCTAATGTTACTAAAAGTTCTGTGAATATATTTTTTGCTTATTACTTATACTGATTTATTACATGGACATAAGGCGTTTTGTAACCGGCTTGAGAAGATTCCGAGTTAATAAGTGTAGAGACTCCCTAAACGAACGTGTTTGAAAATATTGATATACGAGTGGAGGACGTGAATGAGGTATATGTAAATTAGCAGGAGGTCTGCAATTACTGGAACTTTGGCATGATGTATATACCTTTTCCAACTTCATTGGAGACGTGAGTTTGTGGCAGAGGTGGAATCTGTGGTGCAGAATCTTGCGAGTGTTCCACATGGTTTTTGCAAGTGTGCGCCTTCTCTTCCTGTGATAGCTCTTGCATAGTTTGCTGCAAATAACAGAAACAAGTTTATTATTTTGAATCTTATACGAGTACTTCATGATTTCAATACAAGGACAGCCGTTTGCAATAAAACTATACACAGCGAAATTACAAACAAGTAGACCCCGTAACCGTTGGTTATTAATTCAGGACCATAGAAGTATGAACGAAAAAAAAAAAATTTGATTACTGGATTATGGTTAATTTGTGGTTAAAGTAACACGTCCTATATAAAATATTATAATTTTTTTCCAAAATACGCGAAATTTTAAGGGACACGTGTCCCTATTGGTCATCAAGGGAGATATTAAGTAAATTTATGAGTATTTTTTTTTCAGGTTTTATGATAATTGGTAATGATAAATAATAGGTTTTTTAATATTACTTCTTATTTACTTAAGTTAAAAATTAGACTAAAGCAAAAATCATAAGTCAAACTGATACTTTAGCTTAGAAAAAAGGGTACTGATCTTTAAAAAATTTGCTTAGTTTTGTTTGACTTATACAAGCGTAAATTTCAAACAATCAGGCGGAATGATATTCAGTAGAGCAGTTTCTATGTTTTGTGTGACAAAGGTGAACATGACATGAAAGACATATATTATGTGTGCGATTTTCTTTTTTAGTTTTGGGCGCAGTTTACGCATCTCTTCCTAATATCGGTTTTCTCCATCTGGTGCGTAGACAGCGGTCGTTTCAGAGACCTGCATGATATGCTTGATACAGACGTAGTATCAAGTATATGATTGACTCACCTAATCCATATTCAGTATCAGAAATTCGTTTGCCAGTATATAAATCAAATTGAAACAAATAACCTGTTGTTGCATCACACCTGCACCACAATTTGAAACCCCATTTCACTGGTTTATTTTTTATGTACTGCTGCATGGCATTATGTCCTTTGAATTTTATATTATGCTCATCAGCAGACTGAGTAACTGTATTATTGAGAGCTTTCTGAAACGAATAATTCACAATGATTCATGACAGCTCTGATTATGTGAGCCCTGTCATATTTAGGACTATCTTTCCTATTCTGTTCTTCGTTGTTTTAGAAGTGTAAGTTACGGCGTATATCTTCAAATCGGGTTCTTGGCATGACATTTTATATGTAAGGTACGCCCATATCTGGTTCCGTAGATCAATAATCCCTAATAGATGGCAATGTGTGATAGTCCATAATCAAGTTTATGCCTAAAAATGCTTTCATCTCTTCTTTGGTGATTGTAAATTCACGACCATTTTGCTGAGCGTAAATCATAGACTCCGCCAAAATATGTTGGATCAAAATATGAAATTTAGTAACGGATTGGAAAATTTCAATAGGCGTCAATGAATCTGCATCCATTTCAGTTTGCAGCAATTTGCACGTTCTCAAAGTCATATTCCATATCACGAAAAATTTTGGGTTCGCATGTTCGCATTGAAAATAACTTGGTTGTTATTATATTGTGATGTTGAAGACTGAGGTAACTGCAAGGTTATTGGTACTTGGGGCTGAGCCACACAGTCCTCAATTTCCACATACGCAGCCCTTTGGTTGACATTTTCATCACGTTGCAATGCGTCTTCTTCGTCACTATTATCGCCAATAAAGTTTGACGAATAGACTCCTGATTGAGTTCGAAGATTCCACGAGCTTTCCGTATCATGATCTATGTTAAAAAATATCAGTAACTATAGAAAACGTACAAAAATTATTTTTATAAAGTCACGAGTTTTGGTGTCGAATACAACTCTTCCGGACCACAGGGACACAGGTGTCCCTTTACATTTTTGGGTATTGGCGACGCACAAAATTCTCAGCAATGAAATTATATGCTCGTGAAACAATCATTCACTTACCAGATAATTTATTCAGCACAAAAGGTAAACTTGATAGACACTGATTCGCGTATTTACGATACTGCAAAGATATCTTCTACAGAAACTCGTAAACTTTTACTTAGCAGCTAATTTGTGGAATGAAATAATTTAGTGATGAAATGTCAAAACAATAAAAAAGAATTAAGGTACATCTAAGAACGAAAAGCATATAAAGCGAAAACTTTAAAGATTAAAATTATATTTTTCGTGGGTAGATTAACTTTTGGGACACCGGTGTCCCTTGGTCGTCAAAGGGTTAAAATTGAACTGATAACACAAGTAATGTTTATATGAAACACTAATGTATAACCGACGACCTTATTAAAGTATCGATTTAGGATACACAAAAGGGGTGGATCTCAAGAATAATCTTGATTTTATTAGAAGATATAAATCATCCAATATAATTCGCTAACATGAACTAAAAATTTTGTACAATAAATATTTTCAAAAGCAAAAATATTTACTCAGACGACAACATTTCAGTATTAGGTGTGTATACATAGATATAACTGCAGGCGACTGTCCAAACGTAATTTGAACTGAATTTCTTATAAATCTTTCTGTCTTTTTCTTCTCACACAAACACGTTGGTGTATTTCATAATTCAAGCCACTTATTGTTTTATAGAAACTTTGTTTTACCCTCGGCTCGTCGTCGATGGTGAGGCTGCTGAGGCTGGTCGCAGTGGAGAAGTGCGCGGGAGTGTGCTCCACCATGAAGCGTGACACACGCTCCTCGAACACTGACACTGTTTGCCCGCTCTCTGCAAAGAAAGGGCGGTTGGCATCATTCTTAAATTCAGACTCATCTCAATGAGTGCTAGTCCAGTTAAAGATGGTAGCTAATCAATTGAAAGGCCGATGGTTCGAAGTCCTGTTGTACCTGATTAACTATTATTTTAGATTAAAAGTTTAGTACCAACCACAGAACAGTAAATATAGTAGAAGTGCTTAGCTTGGGTGGTACGTGTGCCAACAGTTCGCGGAGTTCCGCAAGCTTGAGCTCAGTTCGCCATTTTCGTTTAGTATGTTATGGTCGTGTCAAGTAACTAGTGCAAAACCCGAAAATTGTAGCAAAAATGTTTTATTTCGCTACTTTGGAGTGCAAAAATTATAATCGCACTTGTAATAATATCTATGAGAGTGTTTCGTATCAGCATTACGTCTTATTTAATTTAAATAAATTTTAATTTTTCTGTTCATTGTAATATTTTTCTCTTACAAGAAACGAAAGTCAACCTATACCCCTGCAATATAGTCGCTTGTTTTCTGGAGAATAAATAAACATATTGAATTCGTCGTCGTTCAGCTATTAACCGCTAGATGGCAGCACATTGATTGAATTTTAATTTAAAATTAAAACGTAACTTGCAACAAAAATCCTCTTGTTACTACTAGCATGCTGTGGTAACCTGTAAGTGCGATATGTATAATGCTTTTATATGTTGATTGTACCTTTTTAGCTATACTCTGTAAATGTGTTGCGTTGGCTATCCATTCTAAATAAAAAAAACAATGGATATTGATGGTGTTGAATTTTCAACGATATGCCAACAGGGTCAAGTTTAAATTATATTAACAATCTAGAATGTGTTATTTCTTTTTAATTTTTTTTTATATCGCACACACTCAACATAGCCCCGCACTAGGGAAACTCTGTCGTGGGTGCCATGGATACACATATAGGCAACCACAAATTACACCCAAACTCACGAGAGAAATAAATGTAGGCCATTCAAATATTTCTCCCGGCCCGGGAATCGAACCTGGGACTTCTGCGTGACAGTCCGGCATGGTAACCGTGCGTTTTGGCGACAGCGGTTCTGATAGTATCGAGGCTTGAGGCACTTCCATCGTGATAAAACCTGCATGTCTTTTTATTTTCTCAGTATACTTTCACTAAAAATAATATTTTTCTTGTGGTCCACAATTGTCACACATCTACATGCAGGGAAAAGGGTTAAGCCGGTCAGAAAATGATTTATGTCCATTCATTAAGAGCGATAAGTGCGATTGGGTCATTTCTCGTGCCATAAATCTGTTACTTTCATGTTTTTAAAGATAATATATATGTATAATCCATTGACTTACAAATAAATGGACGACGGGTCTAATACAAAAACAACGAAAAAAATGTCCCAAGTCAACCTATTCGAAATTTAAATTGTTATGTCATCGCAGTATCGCGCTGTCCGTAGAACAAATGAAGACTAAAGCGGAGTGTCGCGCTCTGTATACGATTTTAGCGCCTTACAAGTGCGGACACTTTTTAGCGCGGACCCGACGTCCATATAATTGTAAGTCAATGGTACAATCTCAATACAGAGTACTAAAAAACCGACCTCAAAAGTACGTGGAATTATATTTATTTACCACGTTTTATTGAAATATCCCCTAGTTCGCCACTATACAGGACTTGACACAGGATATAATAAAAATCGGTTCTCATTACTCAAAGTATATTGAGAGAGAAAAACGCCCTGAATTGGGGAATAGCAAAACCAACCATTAAAATAATTGCTCCTTAAGTAAAATTTAGGCGCTATTTATAAAAATGAATGTTCATGCCTGATCAGCCACCATTAGAGGTGGATGATTTTCTTCAAAATGAAATGGGACCACTATGGAGGTACCCTCTTTCCAACAAAAGAATAATGAAAATCGGTTCACAAATACCGCAGTTATCGCGTAACATACACACAAAAAACATAGTCAAATTGAGAATCTCCTCCTTTTTTTGAAGTCGGTCTCATAATTTTGAACATATTTGCTTTTAATTGATGTACACTTTGTAGGTATAAATGTATTTTGATTAGTTACAAAAAATATGTCAATAAAAAGGTGAAAATTTATACAAACCTAGTCATGTTTAAAAAAAAACAAAACTGTGTTTAATTACAAACGCACAACGTCTTTATGTGGTTCTTTACTCATAAGTGTGATGATTCTTTCTAAAGTAAGAATGCAACGCGTTAGTTACCTGGCGGCGGCGTGTTGGGCTCGGTGAGCTGAAGCTGCGCGGGCGGGTGCGACGCGCGCGGGGAGAGGGGGGCGCTCTGCCCGGGCGAGTCGGGGATCTCGCTCGGGGATATGCAGCCTGACGTTAGGCGACTGCGAAACAAATCACAATAATAACTACAGGCGGTAGAGTAGAAGGGTTAGGAATATAACTACCGCCTAACCTAACATTCAGACTCGGCCTGCAACGCCTGATAACAGTTGAACCTCAGCCTCTGACCCAGCGGTCTCTCGTTGCTTTTTGCCTTTAGTTTTGGGTAAAATGACAAAGCTTGTATGGCAACCATATTATTATATAAGGCGAAAATATAATTATTGCAAGATTTTATGACAACCATTTTGAATCGGCCACTTTGTTTAGTGATTAAAAAAAGTACGCATTTGACCTGATGGAAAGTCGATGATGGAGCATGCATGTATTTCTAATCCCCAGATGATAGACAGGGCTATTATACACAGCACTGCATACATATCTTAGTTTCTAATAAAATAAATAAAATATTAATATTTGCTTAAATATATATTAATATTGTTCATGTTAAAGGTCCTGAATCATTATCATATTTCATGAAACTAAATGCATACGAACACGAAAAATCCCTTTAACATACAGACAGAAGGACAATATTTTTGTACTTAAATCGCGAATAATCAGTAAGCTTTGTAGTAAGTACAAACTTACCTGATTTCGGAGACAATCGAGCCCTGGTCATCATGATGTGGCGTGTCACACTCCGGCAGCGAGCCCAGAGAGCTGCTGCGAGAGAACATGAGCGGCGTCTCCTCGACGAAGCGCGTTGGTGATCCGGTGCGGGCTGACGCTGCGCCTGATGCCGGCTGAGTCACTGGTTCTGTTGCGAACGTTACTGCTTTGGATCCTGAAAAAGGAAAAGGTAGTATGTATTTTACTACTACATACTACATGTATTTTTGGAAAATAACTGTTTAAGGATGAGTTATAAAACGTTTGCTATAACTTATTTTGCAAAAATCTAAAGCAAATTGCCGAGAGATGGAGCTTGTGAAGTTGACTTGTATCTTGTATTGTAAGGATTTATCTTGTATTGTAAGGATTTCTTTTTATCACATAAGATCCGACTGATGATGTCCGACTCAAGAGAGATAATGAAGTGGAACTAAATCATAGCTATTCCCATTGGCTGGCCAAAACCGTCTTTTTACGTACGAGCTCAGTTATTCTACATCAACACCATCTGATCGTAGCAATAAATTAAGTGTGATATTTATTCCTATGGTGATTATGAATCCGTTTGGAAGTGAGCCAATGGACTACTAATCGTAATTTTGCTAAATACATTGATATTGTACCTTCTTTATCTTTAGAATTGCTGGTGCTCTGCTCTTGAGGACTTGGCTCCACGTTGATGGTTGCCATAGCGTTCTTCTTTGCCAAGCTATCTTCTTCAGTCGGCTCGCCGAGACTGCTCAGAGAACTGACTCTGGAGAAGTACCCTGGAGTGCCTTCATCACAGTAGTTCACCGGCTTCTCTGGACTTATCATCCCTGAGCTGTATTTAGTATCAAACACCCCCTGCTTTTCAGGCACCGGTGCCGATTTCGGATTCTGGGGCGTTGAAATAGCTCTGTCATTATCATGTCTTGGAGGATCTTCAATGGAGCAAGTGTCTTTCTCGTCCGAATGGGTCATAACTTCCGGATGCTCTTTTACTTGAGCTGTCTTCGGTTTGCCGTCCTTGCCGATCACACGCAGATCAGACATAGACGTAGCTGTTGAAAAAATAATAGGCGTTTCATAGGGAGTACCTTCAGTCGCGAAGTGTTTAATAGTATCCTCGTGTACCGACGGCCCGGGAGGCTCGGAAATATCTGAACCAGTCTCCGATTGGTGTTCAGCGTAACGTAACGAGTAGTCCGTTGGTTGGTCCAGATCGGTCTCCTGGTAATCTCCGAAAGTACTCGGACTTTCCTTTTTGGTATATTTCTTGCCGTCAGTCTTTGTTTTCTCCGCTGATGTCTCTGGCTCCGCAGTTTTGGTTTCAGAATATTTTCTGCTATAGTCTATGGGTTGATCGCAAGAATCCTGGTCGACGTCATAACCAGATTCTGTGTAATTTGTTCTCATATCTGTGGAGCTCCTGGGCGGTGGAATGGGTGGCTGAGTCGGGTACCGAAGGAAATTATCTTTAATCGACTTCGTAGTCGAGGTTGCTTTAAAGGCTTCGTTTCCTGGGTCAGCTTTCATGAGATCTTTGTTTCTTGGTGTAGGAACTGGTACTTTTCCAGGACGCATAACCCGTTCGAACACAGAGTCCGAATGTGTGCTTGTAACAGAATCTTTGCTGTCCGATCGGTTTACGTTATTAGAGCTTCCGCCAGTTGTAGAGCGTGGCGGCGAAGCGCCTTTAAGTAAGGTGTTACTGCAACTTAAGTAACTTGCTAAATGTGCGCTGTGGCTTAGCGAAATCTGTGACGTCAATGTCCCCATCAAAGGAGAGCTCGACGTCATTCTGTGCCTTTCCAAATTAATGGCTAACTGTCTCTCAGTTGCCGTGTAGAGATTTTTCTCTTCTCTGTTACTTGTTGTTGGTGAGGTGGCTGGTTCAATGTTGTCGCAAGTTTCAGCAAGATTTTGATCTAGTTCTTGTTCCAGAGCTTTTTGTTTCCGTGCGCCTAATGTAGGTAGCGTTGGTAAATTCATACTCCTCGCGGTTGCATCTAGAGCGATTATGTGCGTCTTTCCGGGTTTAGAATTAAGTAAATTCTTTAGAGCTGCGCTTGATCCCATAGCTATCATTTTATGCTTGGAATGAATAAGACTTCTAAGCATTGGTACAGCCCCGTGATCCCATAAAAACTGCTGGTCTTGCGGACACCTTGCAGATAAATTCCATAGGGTTCCGCAAGAGTTACTAACGACTGTCAGACTTGGAGATTTCAAGTGTTGCAGTAAGACACTTAAACAATTTCTCTCGCGGAGAATTTGTCTGTAATCTTCACGTACGGCGATATGACTGGATACGTTTCTCATGATGCCTCCCGCATTCTCGACGATTGCCAAGGTTTTGGTCGGCGAATCGTAGCTCAGCTTATCTACCAGGAAACCAAGTGCTCCTTCAACGGAGCATAAAGCTACTTTATTCATGGAGCAATGGGCGGTCAAGTTCCAGAGAGCAGATAGGACAGATTTGAGAGTGGCCTCCTTCTGGCACGTCATAGCAGCTTTTGTCAGACCTTTAACGGCTCCCACTTCCCGTAACACTTGTTTGCTGCTTGTATCAGCTCTCCAAGAAAGATTTCTTAGCACTGCTGCTGTCACCTGAGGAAGAAAAACACAAATGTATAAACGATTATACAGTATAAATAAAATAAAAATTTCACTTGCTAAAGCATACCTGTCGCATATCATCATTAGGCGATTCCAATTGCTCCACCAACGCCAGCATGAAATCTTTGAAGGAACATAGTAGCGACTTGTTGTTGCCATCTCCAAACGTCAAGTTAGTCAGCGTCATGCCGGCGTACTTTCTCATAGTGAGGCATGTGTTATCATCAGTTCTGCTCCCGTGCGCTGCTTGGTCTCCGCTTACTAAGGCCGCCAGCGCTTGTAGCCCTCCTAACTGGCAAACCACATGCCTATGCTCTTCATCAAAAGATAACTTCATTAAAGCAGCAACGCTTTGACTTGGATGTTTGTTATTATCTTCTTCAATTATCTCCTGTCCTTCCTTCCTAGCTTCTACTATGTCTTCTAAAACATAGCAATATTCTCTGACCTGCTCCAGCAGTCTCCACACCCTAGCTTCCCTTCTGCCAGCTTTGTCGTCAGTTTGAGTGTGAATAATATTGCGGAGAGCCTTCGCAGCGCGGTCTCGAGTTTCTCTGGGTACTTTTGAGTGAATCAACTGTACTAATAGAGGTATGCATCCCGCCTGCCTCATTGCTATACAACTTTCCACTGAACGACTCATTTCTAATAGTGGGCCGCTCAAATCTGCGTTGTTTTCTGGCGACAAGCTTAAAAGAGATATTAGCGAACAGACACATTCCATTTTGTTTTCTAAAGCGGTAGACGGTCTGGGGCCATCCGCGGAGCCGTTGCTGGAAAAGCTCCTCACACTAGCGGCATCCTGTCCAGTCCATTCGCGTTCCCCAGGCCATGTTCCTCTGTACAGTTGCGAAGCCCTCTTGTCGCGTTCACTCGACCTCGCAGCACTTTCCAATCCATAGTGCAGAGTACTTCTGTAGTTAGTTCTAAGAGGACGATCTTCTTGAGCTAATGTGGAAGATTTTATTGGTCGTTTTGGGAGTGCGCCCACTTTCTTTTGTGCTTGGTCATCTCCATCTACTTCGTCGTCCAAAAAGTTAGGATTTGTGATATCACTGCGCTCGTCAAATTCATCTGGAGAGGGGGAATGATCGAGAAAGTGTGGTTTGGGTATGCGACATTCGATATTCGATTTGGAAGGCTGATAATCATCATCAAGGAAATGTGGTCGTCGTGGCAGATGTTCGGGGTCTAAGGTTTCTAATTCTAGAGTAAGATCCCGGGAGCGCGACTTGTCAGCTTTCGGGGGGATATTAGCTTTGAGTTTGTCTTTAGAGTCGGATAAGCGTCGCGCTTCCGGAGACAAAGGGGAAGACGCGTCTAGCGGTCCGCGGTTCTCGCTTGATGTTGAAGGGGTGCAATCTTCACTAGCCGATGGGCCGGAGTCAGTTAACGGAGAATTCGCGGAGTCCATGCTGCTCCAAGGATCTACCATCACTTCGTTCTCCAACTGCAACAAAATAAAGGAAGCTTTTCAAAACTTATAAGGAGAAATAGTGTCAAGGTGAAGGTGCAACGTAAAGTAACTCAGCTTAAAACAAGTTACGACCCGAAAAAAGTTAATCGCTTGGTCAAGGCCAATCGGCCATACGGGTTGTTTATTCGTGGATGCAGTACAAGACCGGTTGCTGACACGCACGCAGGGGACACATGAGCTTACTTTTTAATTGTCCGGATAAGGCGAGGTCGATTTGATCAAAACATCATACGTTATTTTAAACAAATTTAACCGTTCGTTTGTTTTATAAACAGCGGAAGTTATAGCGGACTGTGAATAACGTGTGCATAGTAATAAGGATAAACCATGTCCTACTAAAACCATGATAACATTTTGTAAACAAATACCGAAGTTGTGCCGTGTGTCTTTGCTCTTTATATCAACACTTGAAACGACTAAAGCAATCACTTAATTATTATGGTCGAGAGACAATTCGCTACAGTTACAAACTAAACACTATTAGTTACTTTAACTACAAAGCTCTTCGTGCATTAAAATTAATTTAACAGGCTTGTCACGTAACCCAGTAGGCATTCCATATTGGAGGTCTGTGCAACCCATATAACAAGTGACTCATCGTTTACAATTTAACAGTGAGGTTATTGAGTTACGTCAGCGGTGTCAGTTCCCCGTGGAGAATTGCAGTTATAGGGAAATATGACTGACCTGATTGTAATAGAAACCAATGACGATTTAGGTTTTTGAAGTCCCTAACACTGGGTATATAAAAAGCTTTCAATAAAGTAATACTTCCCCGTTAGACACAGTGCGTTATCTATAATTGTTGCCATTTATAATTCTAACTTTATTTCAGCTGCTACATTTTTAATTACTCCTTATTTCATAATCAATTGCTTGAAAACAATTACCTCTATCATCTAACCCAACACAATGGTTTGACCCCACGACACTCTCTTATAGTTCCGTGGAATCCACACAATGGGAACAAGAAGTTCCGGTGTGTTTACAATCGCCGGGGGACCGGGAAATTGACTGATTGGGTCCGGTGAGGCGCCATTAATATTGGAGAATATAGTGTACAAGGTCTGAACTTTCTGGGATTTAGTGTTAACTGCTTAGCGTAATGTAAACTTTAAATATTAACCCGTTGGCCCGTCTATTGGGTATTAATCGGTATAAGCTAAATGCTTCTATACTTGAAACTAAAGAGCGTATAACAAAATGGTCCGATCATATTTGAGCTAGTGATTGTACTCACGATAACAAACAAGTTAAGCATAAAACCATTTTGAAACTTAAGTTATATTTATTTGCTAAAGCAGTTGAAACTGAAACTTAAAAACTGAAACTGAAAACCAGCTAAAAATATATGATCGCTCCTTTTTTTACACTCTGTTCGGGCTTTATGTTAGAATATTTATCCGATCGCCACCTCGCGTGTCACTAGTCATTTGTTAATCTATTTTTATTATTGTGACAGTAACCTTTATACAAAAGTGTAAAAATGAGGGCAAGAACTTTATTGCGGTCGCGGAAAGAAACAGGAGCGTACACGCATGTATTTTATCTGATAACGAGAGCGAGTCCTTTTTTGGAATCTTATGCTACGTGCTTTAAAGAATGTATATATTACGGACCAAGAATTTTGATTTTAAAACTCTAGTACACTTATCATAAAGCATGTTTTTGCTGTACATATGATTCTACTACTTTTATGCCAGAGAACTCCTATTGACTTACCAAATTGCCGTCATTAGAAGCAGTAATGTCATCCAAAGGGTTTCCATTCTCCATATCGACACCAGAATCATTTGGATCGCCTATTTTTACCTTTCCTGCCTTCACATCTTGGAAATTCCTTGTACCGTTCGCTTCGGTTCTGGTCTCCTGATAGTGTCGTGTAGAGTTGGCGTCACAAATGTCCTGATAATTCCTAGTATAGTTGTTTCTTAAAGGATTGAAGTTAATGCGCAGGTCGGTAGTGAAATCATCGAAAAGTTTGAATTGGTTGGCATTGAATTCCGTATCGTTGTCGAGAATATCTTGGCTGTCAATGGAAGACATTTTGGAAGCGTCCTTGCTATTATACGTCACTTTATAGTAATCGCGGGAAGTCATTTTGTCACATTTGTTATATATTATATTTTAAAACTGGGTTGGTTTTCTTTTTTAGCATTTATCTACCCTTAAAAAAAATAATACTTTCATCAGGCTTAGTTTAAGCTGTGCTGGTGGCCGATAATGCTAACATTTCAGTAATCGGTGGATAGAGTCACGTGTCGCTTTGATACAGAGTAGTCAATATCTTGAACATATCGACTCAAGCAAGACCTTAAACCTTATAGGTTCGAACACGAAATGATAAAATTCCAATTATGTGTGATAGGTTAAAGTAAATAACTTAATCTTATTGGACATACTTATCAGGGAGAATCATTTCGTTTCGAGTCAATGGCTCGGTGTACATGTCAACTGTATGGTAGAAATGTACTTGGATAATTCGTAATTATAAATTTACAGTTAATGTTATTAATATTGTTCGTATGGAATATTTTACTAATTCGACATGGTCGTTCGCCTGAAATACAGGTTACAAAAATAAACACTTTTTGTAATCTGTATTTGTCACACAAACAAACAAACCAATATTTCGGAGCCTTTACACATCCATGGCAACGGATGACTGAAAAAACAAATGTACGCGAATTAGGTAAAAAAAGTTCCATTTCCAAATTCCAATAACGAAAACTTAAGATTTGAATTTCATAAGAGCAAGCTATGACCTAGACCTAAAACGAAGATCCTATGTCATAGACAAAAGAAACCACTGTCGTCGATTATTTACACAATTACCAAAGGATCAACAATAGAGCCGTAGAGTCTGTTACTTTTAAAACTCATTATTTCGAAACCATAAACACATTTCCCGCGAGTGTTATTAAAACGAGAGCAAGACGTGTTTCATAAGCTGTCATAAAGCGATCATTACCCTTCTTTCCAAAATAAGCGCGAGTTGTAAACTTCATTTGTTTTCAATAATAGGACGCGTATGGGGAACTAGGTCACATGAGTCTATAGATAGAAAAAGGGCCTCGGGGTGTAAAATGTACGATTGTAGCGATAGCGAAGTGCTATTCTTTTATTTGAACGATTGCCAGATCGCTATGAATTACGCAAGTGTATTTTTCGGAAAGATAGTACGAAAGCGATAATTCAGCGCCGTCTCGACCGGTTTTAAAAATAATAGCGATAAGAGAAAATGTTTATGGAATTGAGAACAAATATGCTGCAACTAACTGGTAGTTGCCAGACCGTGTTCTCATCAAAATGAAAATGGGCTACGGAAATTTTTATTACGTAAAATTACGTAATTGTTCGCAAATGAATTCGGGAAAGCAGACATTGTTGTTAGACGCTAGGAGAACGACGAGACAAGGGAAATGGATACAGTTTTACAATAAAATTCCGGAGGATATATTAAGATAATAATTTCCTAAGTTTAAAACTTACTTTATTAAAAAATTTAAGACTACGTGTTAGATAAAGATGTATGGAAAGACGACATGGCTCTAGATTGCACACAAATTTGATTCAAATTGTATTTCTTAGCATTTACATTTATTTGAGAAGAGCAACTCCTAGACCTTCTTGCTCGTGTTCTTCTCAGGGAAGTTAGCACAGTAAATGAGCAGTGGCTTCAAAAAGATTTTTTCAAGTGTAGATTTATTTTACATAAGGAAAAAAAAATTTTTTTTACTTAGAGTTTTGACTTTAAAGATCCTTGCAAGTTGAAGAGCAGTACTGTAACGGCAAAAGTCGACATTTTAAAGCGTTTTAAATATATTTCGAAGGACAAACAGACATAACTTTTAAATCCTTTTTCAACCTTGACTAGTTTCAATATAAACAAAGCCGGTTTTATATTTAACGTTACGACTACCGGAGTCGTGTGTAAGTTTGTCGGACTGCACGTCTGCGAGACGACAGGCACGAGGCCATGTGGTTCACACATGTACGGTGTGAGGGTATGGATAATTTTCTTTTAATAACTTCGTGTCATACGTAGCTTGCGTACTTTCATAATTTTATAAGGAAGAATACTGAATTTGTAGAGAAATGTGAGAATACTTTCGGTGTATTAAGCAATTCAAAAAAGATATTACCTTAGCTCGAAATCAAAATTTTTCCCGTACTACTACGGTTCATTTAGCTTAGGTCGAGCGACAGGGATACAGGTTATACGTATTCTGTATAGTTGAGTTGATGTGTATAAAAAAAGTTGCTATATGTAAAGCACCTATTGGATGCAGCGGTTTTCGAGTTCTTAGGTTTTCGCGATTGTTACACATAACACAAAACAAAAATACGCGATTTAAATCCGGAAAAATAGTTTCATTTCCTACAGCGGTTTTCTTGTAAAATTTCGAGTTAAGCTTGTGTTCTCTTTTCCGTTGTAAAAATTGTTAGGAACCGTGTTTTCACAACGTATAGTCTTCTCAATTTTATTATATATTTTTTTCAAAGCGACAAATTCAGCACTTTCACCGTTATGCGAAATCCACAAAAGACATTTGAGGTAGTATAGACACTTAAGATCAAGATGGTCAGTTGGGTACTGTAGTCTAGGCTCTACTCTATGAGTAGAATTGCTGGCTGAATATAGGTAGTGATTATAGTTTTATATTTAGAATGTTAAGAAAACAGAAGAGCTTGACATATTAGATTATTGATTTGTAACCCAAAACAAGTAACATGTGAAAAAGTGAAATAAAATATATTTTAAAGATTATTCCAGTTTATATTCATAAAAGTACCTCTCGCTACGCAATCTGAGTTACCCCTTATTACAGTACACTCAACCATAGGTGCGGCTATACGAACTCAGTTTCTGTCTGAAATAGTTTAGAAGGAATTTTGACACATTTTGACCTTTAAGTGTGGACATAAATATAAGTTAAACAAATTAAAATTCGAAAACTCTAATAGACAACATTGTACTTCAAAAAGGTCAATAAAGTCTCCATCTGTAAGCTAATAACTCGTGAAGATCAATTTAATGAGCCCAAACAACAGTTCTATAGTCTTGTTTTTTCAAGACGGAGTAAATTGACATTTATAGAGTTGCCAGTTTTCATAAAAATTTAAATAGTCATGTAGTTGTTGTCGACTGTTTTATCGATAGATTGTGAAAGAAGATAATTTTTTTACAAAAATGTCTGAATTGAACGTTCTTAATGATTTCTAATTGCCTTCTTCATTCTTATTTTGACCGTTGACCTATTACGTGGGGCGCACTATAAGTTTCCGGAATGAATAAGAAAAAAATACCATAAATGGTCAGAAATGAATTTATTGTTTCTCAAAATATTCTCCATTAGCTGCATTAACGCTATGACTGCATTAACGCTATGATATAACGCTTTTTCATACGAATGAACCAATTTTGAAAACATTTATGCCACTCCTCCGTGGCAATCTCTGGAACATATTTTTCATTCCTTTCGTCAGCCTCTTCAGGTGATGAAAATCGTTGACCGCGTAACTGGTTCTTAATTTTTGGAAATAAAGAAAAGTCACAAGGTGCCAAGGTTCGGGACTGTACGCGGGATGGCTCATAAGGTCAACATTGTTCACCTTCAAAAATTCATTTGTCTGTCTAGCCGTGTGAGAATTGGCATTATCGTGGAGCAAGATGATACGGCGTTTACGGTTATTTTTACGGAGTTTGTCAATAACTTCCGGCAAACAAATGGTCGTGTACCAATCGCTATTCACGATACAACGATTCTCCAAAGCAACAGTTGCCACGTGTCCAGTTTTATTAAAAAAAAAAGCAATCATTCGTTTACAGGTACTTTGCAGGCGCGCCACTTTGGATGGTTTCGGCTCATCTCGAAATACCCATACGCTCGATTGCTGCTTTGTTTAGGTATCGTAACTATAAATCCATATTTCGTCACCTGTTACTATGTCCCACACCAAATTTGACGCTCCTTTGTTGAATCTGGTAAGCAGGTCATTGTACCAAGTGACGCGATCTGTTTTTTGAGCCTCAGTCAAATTGTGTGGGATCCACCGAGAGCACAGCTTTTTCACACCCAAATGTTTGTGTAGTATTGATTGTATTTGACTCATGCCTATGCTTAAAGATGCCCGAATCTCATAGTATGTCACATGCCTGTCTGTTTTGATCATACGGCGCACAGTATCGATGTTTTTGTTGTTCACGGCAGTGGACAACAAAATGACGTGATGGTCACGAAATTCGTCACCGAGATTCACACGACCGCATTTGAATTCTGCAAACCAGCTATAAATAGTCGTCTTCATCGCCAAAAGCAGTTTGAAGCCGAGCGAAGCTCCGCTGAACTGTTACATTACACTTAAAATCGTAGAAAATCATACTACGAAAATTTTCACGAGTTGAATCCATGGTGATGTAGACAACCAATTTCTAAAATGACGTCACAATGTAAAAACAAGTGAAAGTCAGATGAAACAAACTGTATTCTACAGACAAAGAGTTCCATTTTCAAATGTTGTAATTACTTTTTAAATATTGTTTATGTAAGTGGCCAGTTCCAGAAACTTATAGTGCGCCCTATGTAGTACTAAAATCAATTTTTATTTTTATAAGTATCTGCACGTGGAATGAAGGCCATGAAGGTATTTGCCGTAGCGCAAAGTCAGGGCTTTACACATACATACTATCACGTCCGTTTCTCACAGGGGTGGCTACATTCCCTCACTCTCACGACATACCTCTTTCGCCACAGCTTCAAGGTTCGTTTTTATTGGCTTTCTTCAATTCCAGACAGACGCGATGTTTGCAATTTGTGCAATATTACCATCTAGGTCAGATAGCAGAAGTTATACCATTTTCGTGGCTGATGGATCATTTTTCTAAAAATAAACGCTATGTGGTTGGGCTACCCTAATAAAGGGCTGTCCAGAATCTTCCAGATAACGATGTAAAGTTAACCTGACGGGCTATGTGGCCTTAAACCCTCTCTTTAGAAGTGATCTTTCCTTAGGAGTGTGGTGTATAAAAGGTTGTTCACGATAATAATAAAATAAAAATTTGGGAAGTAATTACGATGCCCGCAGCTAGTACTGTACATAATTACCTGGAAATTTAAACCCCATGTCGGGTATACAGCGTACT